GTGTTTGCATTAACGAATCCCTGAAGTGAAGAAATTATATATTTATATTCAAGAAAAATGCAGAGAAGCACATTTTGGAGGAACGTACGCTATATTATTAAAATGAAGGATGCATTCATGTGTTTCTTTAATAACGCAGCTGAAGGCAAAACAATTCATACATATAAACTATATTCATATGTGATGCTGGAGCTTCTGAGCCACGTTTCCCTCAGAAGGGATTTTAAAGCTCAAGGTTCCTTCTGGGTATAAAAACAAACAAAGCTTAAATAAATAAAAACTTCCAACATAAACCTCATATCAGTGATCATATGAAGCTGAACATGCAAAGTGATGCACATGACTGAATAAACGCGGGGAAAAAAAGTTAAATAATTGATCGTGGAGCATAAAGAAATTGGAAATGATCGAGTAAAAAGCCAATAATTCAAGATCAAGTCCAGCAGTTGATCCTTAATGAAGCTGCTTGTGAGCAGAGTGACGAGGAATCAGATCAGAATGTTTTACTGTAAAGTGGATTTTCAGCCCAGACCTTGACTTGAACGTGGTCGTATTCAGTTATAATGAGAAAGGTCTGTTCATGCTTTCTGAAGCTGAGTTTGGTGAAAATATGATGTTAAAGCGTCTTTATGAACGTCTGCCGGTGACAACATTCGTCTGTTTACTGCCGCGTTTAAACATTTAACTGCAAATGAACAAAACCTGAGCATAAAAACAGATTTTCCTGCGACGGGAAGCTGCGTTACCTCTCCGGTGGCGGTGCCCAGGAAGGCCACGGCGTGCCCCTCCACCTCGGCCACGGCCACGGCGGTCATGTGAGCCTTGCGGACCAGCGAGGGCTCCACGGTCAGGGCGAACTCGGCCTTGCTGGCCAGCGGTGAAGGCAGGAACTCGGCTCCACAGCGGTACCGGTGGGCCATGTCCCTCTGATAGGACGAAAAGATTCAAGTTAACAGTCTGACCATCAGCAATTTGACTGACTTGCTTCTTCAAAATGGTGATTAATAATTGGGTTGACCATCTGGGGCCAAAGGTTAGTTTTTGAGTTAAAATCCTTAAAGAAGGGGCTCATGTCCATTTTTGGACCTTTTTTTTTTGGCACCAATCAGTGGATCAATGTTTGAAAAGTCATAACCTGAGAAATAATGTATCTGAAGTCCTGACATTTGATTTGCTCATTGACATGTACACATGGTCTCCAATGGTACAACCGAAACAGCAATACAAGATGAAAAGTCAGAATTATGAGATAAACGTCAAAGTCATGACAGAAAATGAATAATTTTGACCAAAAAGTGAATTAAAACAACTGCAAAGAGACTTAAAATGACCATAAAGACATAAAGTGACCACAGAGACGAAAAACAATGTCAAAGAGACACAAAACAACCAAAAAAAGAGGCAGAAACAACCACAAAGAGGCTTAAAACCACAACAAAAAGACAAAAAAAACAACAGAAAAAGGCAGAAAAATCCAAAGAAATTCAGAATGTCCCCAAAGAGACTAAAAACAACCACAAACAAAAGCAAAACGACCCTAGAAATACACAAAACAACCAAAGTGACTCGTACTGACCACAAAGACACACAGAACAACTACCAAGAGACTTA